ACTTTTGGTGCCCTAGATGGTCCTCCCAAGTAGGACTTGAACCGTCCCCCTCAGAAAACTCCAAGGAACCCTAAAAAATCAGGGTGCCACTTCCTAGGTCAAAATTGAAGAGTCCAACAGAAACATGACTCTCCCCCTTTCTCTAGTTTCTCCTGATTTTGATGGGAAACCCTAGACCAGTTACAGGGCAAACAGATCCACCAAAAACTAGGCTTACCTAAGATCTTCGACCAGCCTCTTAAATCACCATGCAATCGGCCGATCTAGGGTTGCATGATAGAACAACTCAAGGAACCTTCAACCTACTCTGATACCAAGTAGAAATCATTGATTGCAGTTTTGGATAAATTCCTTGTGAAGAGAAAGAAGAAGAAGGTGAAGAGTTTCAGTAGTAGAGAAGAAAAGGAGTAGGATGTCAACCAGAATTGAATTAGTTATGGCCGCCAACCTCTCTTTATATTATATACTCAACTTAAAAGAATTAGAGATTACAATAATGCCCTTAGTAGGGCGGCTACTTAAGTAGCTGAACAATTACAACTTAAAAACATAAATTAATGGGCCTAAAGCCCAACAACTTCCTGACTTAACAATTTAAAAATAAGAAATAAATAACTAGGCCCAATAACTAGAAATTGGCCCAACTCAACARTAGCATAATTTCTTTCTTGGAGAAATTTTATTCCATCATCTAATACTGTTGTTCCCCTATAACTTGGATTATTAGTGAAGTCAATGAGTTTATCAGCAAATCTTTTCAGTTCATCTAAGGAATCTTTAGATACAACTGCACACATGTCTTTTCATGATATTAATACTTTCAATGAGTTTATTATTAGGGTGAATGATGGTTCAGCCCAGGGTCAGAATTTTTAGGCCCAAAGTACAGTTGGGGTGGGTGCCAGCTCGGAATTGATGCCAATGGCATTCACGGGCGGGCATTGGTGTATAGAATGGGAGTTTTTGACATTTTAAATGTTTATAGCTCTATAGTGAAATTCAGAAATCTGCATTGAACCTATCCATACTTTTTCGTTATTATTATCACTAAAACACATACGATCAACATGGGTCCCTTTCAATCTTATTCAACCATTAAATTAATAATTCTTTTATCCGGAGAAATCCATTAAATGATTCATGATCAACAAAATGATAATTGGCATTAAGAGGCATGTATACTGTTAGTAGGGGTGGTAACTAGGTGGGTTTGAGTTGGGTTGTAAATGGGTTGGATTCAACCCAAACCTGCCTTAACCCAATTCACCTGCCCAATCCATTAACCTTTGAACAACTTGAGTTCTATGAGAATTACTTAAAACTTAAAACTTTCTTTTGAGAACTTAGTTGGGCATGGCTTAGTGGTAAAAGTGATTATCTTCCATACAAGTGTGCAAGGTTCAAATCGCATTACATGTACATTAAATTTAAGAGTACTTGATTGTATTTGGGTTTTGGGTCTGACTGAGCTGCTTGGGTCCGAACCGGACCAGGCCAGCCTAAACCATGTGCTTGAGTTCGTAAATAGGTCGAGATTGAATCGAGTGCAGTTGAGCCATTCAAACTCATGCTGGATTGAACAACCCAAACCAATCAGGTGTGGGCTGCTTTATAATGTCCCTGGTTGAACCATTCGGATATGGATTGGATGATTCAAACCAAATTGGTCATGCTGGTTCATGTGCCATCCTTCGGGTTGGTTACATTTGGGATATTCAAACCAAATATGACCATGTTAATCTGAACTAGATCTAGGTCAATTTGGACTTGATGTGGTTGGGTCCATTTTTAGTCCCAAATTGGGACAGTCCAAATCGCATGCTTGTGTTTGGGTTAATTTGGTTTGGGTACTGGGTTGGGCCACCAACTAGTTGTATTTAGGTTAATTCAGATCAAAGTATGGGTGAATTGAATTGCCCCACATCGGATTAAGCCATTGAACCATTTTGACCAAGTTTAGGTTTATGACAATATGAGTGATCTGTTGGCCCAAAACGAAAATAATTTTAGTCAATAATTTTTTTGCAATAATTAATTAGAAATTAATGCATTAGTTATGAATTATAATTTTGAGTTGATTAAAGTGAAAAAAAATTAATAAAAAATTGTTAAGTAATTAACACTTGTATCATTAGTGGTTAACCCAGTGGGTACCCACAACTCGACCCAACCCAACCTACCTTCTTTGATATTATTAGGAAAGTAGTCTCCCACCCCTAACTACTGTTTAAGGTATTATGGAACCTTATGGTTTGAATGGTTGGCTTTAAATGCTGGCCTATAAAGCTATAAACCCAAATGATATAATGAGAAAGCCAACACATGTGGGAAGTTGACAGAAAGTCATAATAAACACCAAGCAATACAATTAGGAGGTGTTTGGTATGGCTTCCGTTTATTTGATAAATGGTGTCATATCATCACCAAATCAGCATTTATCCCATCACGCTGATTCGTATGCATAGGTATTGATAAAATTTGGTCTTGATTTATGTGCGTGCCAACCATTGGGATAAGCTTTATTTTAACGCTTCCCTCAATGGTTAAGTGTTATTCACTGTTCCATTGATGTGGTGCCTAATGGCATCTAGTTGTCAACAAATCCCAGAAAAACGTTTGCCAACCACTTTTTCTCCGTCTTGAAGACAAATCAAGTACAAATTAATTAAGGTCAGTATTCATTTTTATGTACTAAAGTTTGAAATTCCAATGCTTCTAAAATGTAATAACTACTTTTAGAGGTACATCTGAGTTGGTGAACTTTTCTTAGTGCTGATATTTGAATGTAGAGAATGTTGTTCTAATTTTTGACATGTGAATGTTGAGTTTTGAAAAAATGACAATTGACTATTTTAACCATGGATATAAAKAAGCTTGTTTAACTATTTAATAAACTAATTAACAATTAATTAAGTATAAAATGATTAAAGATAGTGGAATTGATAAAAAAATATCAATAATTAAATAATATTTAAATAATTGAGCATTTAAAAATTAATTAGATAATTATTATTTAATAATTAATTAATTAAAATAGGTATTTTAATTAACTATTTATTTTGATAAGTATTTTAGTAACTAAAACAATAATTATCCTACTTTATAAAATATTAATTAGAAATTATTTAATAATTATTTTAATTATTTAATTAATATTATTAGATATTTATTAAACAATTACTATGTATTTACATGATCAGTAATGGATACTTAAAATAAATAATTACATAGTTATTTTAATAAATACATAACTAGTAATTATAAATAGATAATCATTAATTAATATATAAATAAATATCAAAATAATAAAATAATCATTACTATACAATAAAATAATTAAATAGGTAATTGAATAAAAATATATAATTAATCAAATAAGAAAATAAAAAATAATTATTATAATTATGAAATAATAGTTAACTAATAATTATATAGTTAGAGTATTAAATATGTAAAACAAACAATTAATTAATATTCCCATATATACATATTTATAAATTATGATTAAATAATTAATAATTAAATAAATAGCTAGTAAAATAATAATCATTACTAATTAACTATTAAAAAATAATTGAATAATTGTGCATTTAATCAAGGTTTTAAAACTTGACCCGAAAATAGAACCACTTTGGCCATTGGTTTTTGGGCCCTCCAGGCGGTGGGTTAAAAAGGAAAAAAAATCAATTTTGATGGTGAGAAACTTGGAATGAATGCCTTTTTTCTTGCAAATTATTAATTGATCATGCTTTTGCTATAAAGTCTAAGGTGGTGTTTTGCAACTGCTAAAATATGTGCTGCACAAAAAATGTGGAAATTTTTCAAAATAGAAAAAGATGCTCCATTCAGCATTTCAGTAACTCCACTTGGCTATTTATCTACTAAATGTGATTCATGACGACTGAGATTATTTCATTTACCTCCAAAAGTTTTATTAAATATGAGAAATCACCCTAAAATTAATCTATTTTTATTTTAGAAATCATTTTGCATTCCACTTTAAACACCTATTACAACAACTATTGAATTCCACCAAAACTTTCATATTATTAATTATAGCAATAACTTGTAAAGATTTATTGCTTTTATTAATTATAGAAATAAGTTTTAAATGTTTTAATATAGAAACCTAGAAAATGTATCGAACCCGATTAAATGAATTTTGCATAATAGTCATATTTGAGATAAGGTGGGTATGATAAAGATAGAATTTGAGATGGATTAGGGCAATACTTGGCTCCTACCCCTTGAAGGACATGCATCCTTCCACCTCTTGATTTTCATATTTAAACCCTAAAACCTAAACCCTAAACTCTAAATTCTAAACCCTTAAATCTTAAAACTTTAATCAATAAAAGTAACTTTTAAATTCTAAACCCTAAAATCAAAATTCTAGCCAAACCCTTGACACTAAAGCATAAATCTCTTAAACCCATCCTAAACTTTATATTTATTGTATAAAATGGCTTTGTTAGCTAGGACGCATGTATCCTCCAATGGGGTAGAACCATGTATTTTCTCCCACTAGAATCCCTCACTTAATTGATTGCATGGCTGATGTGGGGTGTAATTATAGGTTACACAGCCCCTAACACAGCCATAAAGTACAGCTAATATAATCCAGATTAAGTAGAGAAAGCATGTCTTGGTTGTACATTTTAAGGTTGAAGTAACTCCCTCTTCGCTGGGAGAAACGTTTGACTGTTTGGAGAAAACAACCAACAAACAGCGAAGCGTTCCCCCTTCCCCGGAGGGATCCCGTCATTTCATTGAAACCCAGTTGGTAATTGATATATATATATATGAGTCGGTTTCTATCACAAAGATGAAAGCAAATAGAATTTTGTCCAGAACCCAGTAAAGAAGAGGCAAGGAAATTAGCTGAGAAAACTCCAACTACAGAGCTCTGATTATTTTTCTTCTTCACCAAGTATTTAGGACGATTTCCTTCACAATATAATCCTCATTTCCTCCTGCAGCTTGCAACTATCTGTACAAACATGTCTGGTGGCCACCTTCAGCATTCAGACTTGGAGAGGATATTTTTGAGGTTGGACGTCAATGGCGACGGCCGTCTATCCATTGATGAACTAGTTTGGCTCCTTGACAAGGTTGGTGGCCACATTGTCCCAGGCGACCTGGAAGAGATTGTGGGAGAAAAGAGCCTAGACTTAGAAGAATTCATCCTCTTCTGCAAGTCGATATCTGATCCAGTCGAGGAAGCAGATGAAGACTTGATGCAGGCATTCAAGGTGTTCGACCTGAACAATGATGGGTTCATTTCTTGTGAGGAGCTTCAGAGCGTGCTGGTGAGACTTGGGCTGTGGTCGGAGAACGACGGAGGCTGCGAGCAGATTGTTTGCAGGTTTGACACAAACTCGGACGGGCAGCTTGATTTCGAGGAGTTCAAGCAGATGATGTTGCTCTCCATTACATGACAATATACACAGAGAGTGAGAGACATTCTTTGCATTGTGAGATTCAAAGAAACATTGTTAATTTCTTTCTCAAGGTGATGACTGAGATCATTTCACATATTGCATTAATTGTTTCTCTCAGATGGGAATGGATCGGGTTAATATATATATATAGGGTCAATGTTGTTAAATTTTCTTTCTTGTTCTTATTCAATTCCTCTTAGTTTTCTTAGGAGAATAATCAACTTTTTCATACCAACAAAGAATGATATCAAAGTAGGAGGTGGGTTATTCCATCTCTGAACGAGAGAGAGAGAGAAAGAAAGAGCTGTGGTGGTGAACTGGTGATTGGTCCACTATATCTCATGACCTACCGAATGCTATCAAAACCATTAAATACATATGGTGGGAAAAATGACTAAAAGTCAGATATGACCGTGGGAATTTTCCTAAGCTAAAATCCTAAAACCGTGGATCAAGACCTTCATGTATTTACATACGACTATAAATAAGTTACTTGAACATTAAATAAATATATATATATATATATATAATATATAAAGTGTGAAGATATTGAGACAACTTTAAAATGATAGAAGAAATAAAACGCATGGTTTTCGAATTGCCGTTGATCCGGATGGTCAGACCGTTTGGCCTGGTAATCGTCCAAGCAATTGGTTCCATTTTACTCTAAACCTGGTCTCTGGCCAAAAACCGTTGAATCAGTCAATGACCCGTTGACTCGGGTGATCGAATCATCGACCTATCGACCTATTCAATAGTTTTTGGTCATTTTTTATTTTTAATTTTTTTAATTTTTGTTGTCAAAATGGGCCATTCAATCGAAATAAACGGTCAAACCGCCAACCCAGAAACCAGTGGCCAGAACATTTTATTAAAACGTATAGATACATACTCCATGCATCAATTTTCAAAAAAAAAATCAATATAATTTGACTTAATATTTATTATATATAAATTTTAAGGACAACATCCAAAAGAAGGTTTACTTAATAGTCAAACTATATTTGATTTTAACAAACAAATATAATATATTAATATGTGTAGTGCTGGCCTAGTTCAAATCTTTCTACTGCATAATTGTGTTTTTTATATGAAAAATTATAGGTGTTAAGAATTGCATGTTTTGAATTTGAATATTGGGTTATTGAGTTACTGTGTGTGAATGTGTATAAGAGAGAGAGAGCGAGTAATTATTAGATCTGTTCATAGGTTGGGCAATTGAGCCTTCAGATTCGGCCTATTCAAATTTTGGCAAAATCTATGCCCAAGCCTGATCCATTAACGGGTCTAGTAAATATATAGATTATAGGAATTAATTAAAAAGATTAGGATCTGGGAATGAGATAAATTTGACTTGAATAGGAGAATTTTTAGAGAGAGGGATGGGATGGGATTAAATATTAAAAATTATATACGTATCATACAGGTATTGGGCGGTTGGGCCCCAGCTAGAATGATACATATCAGCTGATAGGTTGCTAAATTTTAAACCCTGTGCTGCTATGGCCCCCACCAGTGATGAAGATCGTTTCTTTTCTGCTTAATCTTGCCCCCTTTATGTGGTGGCTTATTTAACCGACTTGGAAAATTTTCAGTAATTCCCATAATACTCCTCATGTAAAGCTATAAATAGGAATGCCTATACTTGTTTGTAACCACTTCATTTTCTTTGTACATAAGGCTTAGTTTGGAAATAGTATAAATATAAATATGTAGAGTATAAAACATTGTACTTTGTATCATTTTCTATGTATTCGTATTGTACATATTTGTATTTGTATTAGGCTCAGTTTGGAAGGAGTACAAATACAAATTTATAGAGTGCAAAACCTTATATTTTGTATTATTTTGTATGTATTTGCACTGTACATATTTGTATTTRTATTCTTTCCAAACTGAGGCTAAGGAATTAGGTTGAGAGAATGAAAGTGTGTGGCAAGTCTGTAATGGATTGTAAGAATGGGCACTGATGAGATTCTAATGAGATCATGTTATTGCATTTTTCTTGTTTATAGTGAAAAAGAAAGCTTTGAGGTGCTGCCCATGAACGTAGGCAATTCAGCTGAACCATGTTAAGCTTGCGTGCTCACTCTTCCTCTTTTTCTTGGGTTATAATTGTCCATACCTATTTTATAACAAAGGGTGTTTGATCTCCTGCTCATTTGCTAAAGGTTTATGAGAATGGTTCTTTTCTTTGTTTGGATGTAGGTGGATTCCACTGTTGGATGTGCAAAGTTTGTTTGCTCCTACTTTCTTTAAATTGTCAAAGAAAAGGAGAAGATTAACGTTGAGATGTGTAAAGGCTGTTGTTAGTTTGACCATTTTGGAAGAAAGAAATTCCAAAATATTCACAAGGAGAAAAGCAAGGAAGCCATTTGGGAGGTGATTTTTATCAGGGTAGTAGTACATTGTCTTAAATCTATGGAATTATTCAATAACATGTCAATAGATGATCTATCAAGAAAGTGGAAAGAAGTTGTTTATTAAGTGTCGGGTCAATAAGTCTTAGTTCTAGTTTGGTCCCCTCCTCCAAGCAGCTTTTGCAAGATGAGTTTCAATTGAAGTAGTATTGGTAACTTGGAGCTTTCAGGTATTCGGGGTATTTTAATCAAGGATTAAAGTATTGCTATCGGGTATCGTATCGGATAACTCGGATATAGATACGGATATGGATACGGATATGCTTTGGAAATGCATAGATATGGACGAAAAACATGAAAACGCTTGGATACTTTAGAAAAATGAATATTAATTCCATAAATATATTACTAACAATAGGTTTAATGTCGAAATATCTACAAATAATGTATAATATATATATGAAGAAATATATTACAATTAATACAACAAAATGCATAGATATCATACAATTTTATTGATATGCATCAATCAAGATTTCAAGAAACATATTATATAGATTTTTACAAATCAATACATGCACAAAGCCATTATTATCTTATTTTATGTTAAAGTCCAAGGAATAAAACATACACAACTATTATGTTTCAATTATTATATCATTTTTTCTATTTTACTACTTTTTTAACATTAACAAAAATGTTAACTAAAAATTAATTCTCAAAATTTTGGTAATATTTTCATTTTTGTAAACAATAAATATGTTATTATAAAATGCAAATCAAAATTAATTGATAATTTATAATAATATATAATCCTAACTTAAAATATATCAAATCTATTTAAATTTCAAAGATATATAATAGGAAAATTCATAAATTTTAATTACTATAATAACTATTTCATTATTAATATTTTTTTATAAATTTATAAAATAAAAAAAATAATTTTTAATATAAATATAGATTAGTGGATTTGATAGATTCAATTTATATTACATTTTTAAAGATTTTATAAATAATATTTTTATTTTTGTAAACTAATAAATACATGGTTATTTAATGCAAATTAAAATATTAATTAATAATTTATAAAAATTTTGAGATATATATCATGTGAAAATTAGTAACTTTTAAGTATTAAAATAATTATTATATTATTATATTATTAATATTTTAAAATTATTTAAATTAAAAAATAAAATTTTTGATATAAATGTGGATTTGGTAGATTATTTATTCTATTGGTTTATAAAATATTAATTTTAAATATTATTCTTTTTAATTTGTAATTGGAGTTGTTGAAGATAAATGTATGTTGGTTGTTAGGATTTTATGTAGATATTAAGTAATAAAAGTTAGTGTATTCCATTTATTAATACAAAATTAATATTAGCTCAGTAGTTAGAGATGCATTGTTAATTGGCACTGAAATGTTGTGGTCTTGGGTTTAAGTCATGCAGGCTGCGTCTTTTTGTAGTGAAGTTGTCAAACGGAGGTTCGATATGCTCCCGGACCCATATCGATATTTTAATCCTTATTTTTAGTATATGAGAAAGGGAAAATAATTGCAGGCGGCATTGGAAGGTGTACAAAGACCTAAAGAGATGAATATAAGAAAACTAATCATGAGAGGAGACTCTAAGGTAGTGTTAGGCTGGTTGAAAGGAGACAAAAATGGACTGTGAATTTATAGCATTGAAAAGAAAAAATTCAGGTGGCTGTCGAAAGACATGGAAGTAAATAAAAAAGTAAAGTGGGTTAAGAGATATGTACACTCCTTTGCTGATGGGTTAGCAAAAGAAGGGGTAAATAGGGGTGCTCTGTTTCGGGCTCAATTGTAATTTTTCAGTTTTGTTTGTTTCTTGTTGGGGGAGACAAGATAGGTTATCTCCTCCCATTGTATCCTTAATCTTCCTCAATGAAATCTTCTGTAATTGATAAAAAACCAAGGGGCTGTTTGATAATGGCTGAATTGACTAAACAGAATTGCGGCATATTGAGGTGATTTCTTTTCTTTACCTCTAAATATTCGACAATATGACTATACCATTCACTAAAATTATGTTTGGTTTGAAGGAAAAACATAGCCTAAAAAAAAGTATTAGGTAGGGAAAGGAAGGGAAAGGCAGGAAAACCTATACAAGCTTTGTAAATGTTTCTCTTCCTTTCCCTTCCTTTCCCTATTTTTCCTTTAAACCAAACACAGACTTACAAGATTGCTTTTAAGTTTCAATTTTCAACTTAGAAGTATGTCAAAGTAAAAAGGCCAATATACAAGGCGGATTGTAACCATCCAAATACATAGAATTCTTTTCCAGCTTTCCACAAGCCTTGGGAGGCTATAGAAACATAATCGTTTAGGTCATTTTGCAGATATTGTGGCGTTCTGCCCAATTTCTTGGATGCTAGATTCACATGGCCAGACATGTCCTAGCATTTCTAATCGGATCAAAGGTAGCTCACTCGATTATAACCAGGAGTTATGAGGTTACATAAACTGGTTCAACTGTCCAACCCAATCCCTATCTGGTTCAGGTTTTCAGAACTGTGCTTTTCAGCTCTACCATGAAATATTCAAACCTTCATGGTCATAGCTCATAGGGCTCGGCGTCTGGATTATTAGACAAAGTAGGCCAG